GAACCTGGGCGTGGCTTAGCACCAGGTGTCTGGCTGAGGCCCCCAGACTGGGAGCCTGGTTCCCCCAGGACTGTGTGGGTGGAGGTATGCACACTGAGAGCATTCCTAGGAGGAATGTTTGGGAAAGCTTGCCACAGCTGCCCACTATCCCTCATTAACATTTTATACCCAGCATGCCATCCACAAATTGGATATCCCAGGGTGGAGTCAGAGGAATGAGAGGAATAAGGAAGAGCATACAGATAAGCACACATCTCCTGCACCCACTATTTATGCATGGTGTGCCCATCATGTCCTGGTAAGTGTTCTCTCATACAGTTCATCAACAGCAGAGCAAGAATTTACAACCAGCTGCATACATTCCATTGTACCTTACTCTACCTGAGGAAAAATATTTGGGATTTGTAGGTTAGCCACAGCTGGGTAGGACATCAGTGCTAGACTTCTTGCCATTCACTGGGTACCTGGCTCTTCTGGGCCCAACCTGCACTGAGTACTCGTATGTGAACAAGGCCAGGCTACAGGGGTTTCAGAGCCGGTTGCAATTGCTTTCTGAGTCCGTCCTGTGCAACTGTCCCCTACAAACAGTGTAAGGCTCTGGCACAGGGTGAGTCACCATGGACTTCCCCACTGCGAGGTCTTTACTATGCAGGTCTCTCTGCTTGCAGTGACCTCCCTCCAGTGCACACATGCTCACCCCGGCACCAGGACACCTTTGCAGGTTCCCGTTATGACCCTTCTACCCTTCCTCTAGGCAACTCTGACCCTCCTTCGTCTGCCTGGGGTTGGATTGAGCTGCACTTGTTTCTGTCTGCCCAGTGGGACTGGGAGCCCTATGAGGGTAGAGTCTGAGGCTCTTTCGTTTGTGCGTCTCCTCAGATGCCCACCATGGAGTGGATGCCACCCGAATGTGTTTTTGTGCCACGAGCAAGCTTGGCGCTCAGTGCATAGTGCATCAAGGGTCCCCCTCCTCTGGAGGCCTGGATTCTACAGAGATCTCAGTGAGAAGCTGTCCAGATGTGGCCAAGGAGCCCTGGGCAGAGCATCAGAACCTCGGGTTTCTATCCCTTCTAGACCTGGGCCACTTCCTGAAGCACTTCACCTTTCTGGGCCTCAGTCTCCACCTCTGTAATGGGGGCTTGCCCCTATAATTCTGAACAGATAAGAATCTGTTGTTATTTGCTCTGCTGCTTTCAGATCAAACCTCCCCTGCGTCTGTCTCAGTCTCTTTCCTTCCCCACTGTCCTTCCTCTTAGATGCGTAATAAACCAAGAGTTTACAGTAAAAGCACAGGAAGAGCTGAATGATGTGTTCTCTTCAGGAAAGTACCTGATCCACCAGGGAGCCGGCAGCAGCGCAGGAGCCCGTGCCTCCTGAGCTGTGACTCTGAGGACCTTCTGTGTGGGCCCAGCAACCCAGCCTTTGGTGTGGCTTTGGTCCACGTGCTACTCAGTGGTCCTGACTCAGAGCTGTGGCAAGGGCCAAACAGTGGTGCTGGGGACAGTCAGAAGGTCCACTGGGGAAATAGCATAGAACATGAGGCTCCAGGATCACACCCCAAGGAAACCCAGACATCAGGCAAGTCTGATCTCTTCTCTACCAATGCTCTGCTAAAAAGGAGAACAGACAGGCCTGTGTGTGCTCCAAGAAGCCAGGAGATACTCAGAAGAAATCTCCAGAGAGAGAACACATAGCTCCCAAATCTTCAGAGGTGTCTGCCCTCTTATAAAGCACTGGGAATTCCCAGGTGGTTTATTCATATCTTGCTTTTCTTAGTAGAAATAAAGGTGGTAGAGGAAGCTAAAGGTAAGAATCTCAGGCTTTCATTCAAGTCACTCATCTGTGCATTCACTTACTTAGCCAAGATTTGAGGACCTATAATATATAAGGCACTATGAGGGACATGAAGTATACCATGATTTAGATAGATAGATAAATAGATAGATAGATAGATAGATAGATAGATAGATAGGTGATAGGTGCTAGATAGGTACTAGATAGGTGCTAGATAGATGATAGATAGATAATGATAGGTAGGTAGGTGATAGATACATGATAGATAAGTGACAGACAGATGACAGATGATAGGTAGATATGGATCTAAAGATATAGACACAGACACAGACATAGACTAAGGTATAGCTACTGGACCTTTGCAAAGCTCAGACTCTGGTAATGGTCATAGTCATTATACAAACAGTGGCACACATAATTGTGGTAACTGCCCAGAGGGAAAAGACTGGTGAACCACAAATCTATAAAATGGGGATATCTTCATTTATTCTTGGAGTCAGGAGAGGCTTCTTGCATAGAGTCATTTGATAGCTAAGTCCAGTGAAAGAAGACAACCCTTCCCAACCCTCTACCACAGACACTTGTGTAACTAATTGTAATGTGGTTCTGACTGCCTAAGTGTCAGTCTGCCTCTCTATGAAGTAAGAGTTTTACCAAGTCTTTGAGGACCCAGGCTTCTTCTGTCTACCCTCTGGTCTCTAGCTTTGGGTCAAAGAACCAACCACCAAAGGGGGCATTTTCTTTCAAAGGGGTTACCCAGAGCTCCACCCATTGGATTCTGCCTGCATCTCCTTGGCCAGAGCTGGGTCTTACTCTATTATAGAATCTACTTCTAGTTGCAGTGATGTCTGGGGCAGGGAGGAGGACTTTAAACTGGGCGCTTTGTCTCTTTGAACCAAAGCAGAGGTGATTGGGTGGTGCACTAGCTGTACCTGCTCCAGGTAGAGTTGGGGTTTACTTCTTTTTAGTAATCTGTATGTTTTCCCCAAGTTTGGAAACACTGACTGAATTTCCTCTCTGGAAATGAACCTGTTCATACAATGGAGGATCTTGATATCCTGCCTTCCTGAACCCAAAGCACACACAGGCCTGTCTGTTCTCCTTTTTAGCAGAGCATTGGTAGAGAAGAGATCAGAACCTTCAGAACTTTGAATCCTGAAAAGGAGAGACAGAGATGGAAAGAGTTGGAGTGCATTTCCTCTAAGACATGGACAGGATCACTGGTTATGTCCTCCCTCCTGAACTCCGGAGCTGCCCAGTTGCTGTTCTCTCAGACTTGGTTTTTCTAGTCTCTCAGGCTTAGGGAGTCCAAGCCTCTGCGCCCTCTTCCTGGATTCCTCCTGTCAGAAGCCAGAAGTGCTCTAACCCCCATTCCCCACTCCAACCTCAGCACCCACTCTTCACTAGAAGCTCAATCTGGCACTCAGGATGGTGAGCTTTTCTGCTTTAGGTCATTGCTTATAGGTCTATGTCTCCTACCCCCCTTATCTCCCCCCCACCTCCCACCCACCCAACACACACACACTGGACTGCAAACTTTTTGAGGGCAGGGACTGTTCTAATACATTTTAGGGCCTTTAGCACCTAGCAGGGTGATTAGCATGTGTTGTTCCTCAGTACAAGTTAATAATTGTTTTTTTGTGTGTGTTTTTGTGTTTGTTTGTTTTTTTTTTTTATAGATCCAGCAAGCTGCAAGAATGATTACAAAACAGACAAAGCAGAAGGCAAGAGTCTTGGCGGGGGAGATTCCTGACGGTGTCTCCAGAACTTTTCTCTGAATCCTACTAGCTGGACAGATTTAGTGACTCCTTATTCTTCAGTCCTGACTCATGGAGCCACCCTCCCCTCTATCACATATCTCCTTCCCCCTCCTCCTCCTCATCCTCTTCCCACTCCTCCTCCTCCCCCTCCTTTCCATCTCCCTCCTCCTCTACCTTCAACGTTATCATTATCTTTTTCACTATCATTAGTAACTCATATTGAGCATTTCCTATATACCAGGCTGTTTTCAGATAAGCCTCTTGCCCAAGATTACCGATAATTCATGGCAGGGTTAGGACTCCAATTCAAGTCAGTTTGGCCCCATTTCGGTGCCTGCCCTCCCTCCCTCCCTCCCTCCCTCCCTCCCTCCCTCCCTCCTTCCCTCCCTCCCTCCCTCCCTCCTTCCCTCCCTCCCTCCCTCCCTCCCTCCCTCCCTCCCTCCCTCCCTCCCTCCTCACTATCTCCTTTAGCCAGGGAGGCTCTGGGGAGCATGGGGAATCTCTGTAGCCAGGCCTCACTTTAAAATTCTTCCCTGAACTTGCCCACTGTGGTGCCTATAGGACTCTTTGCCACAAGTTCAAGCTCCTCCCTCGGTCTATACAGAGCCTTCTTCACCCTGACCTGTCTACATTCCCCTTCACATACCGAGTTCCCACCCAGCCACCTGCGTGGTGTACCAAGCATGCGCTCTACTGTCCTAACCGGATGCCTTTGCTATATGTACACCCTCCCACCTGAACTGCTCTCCCTCCCATGCATCTGTGGAAGTCATATTCTTCATTCAAGACCTATCTATGCCAGGTGATAGAAGCACATGAAATCCTCCTGGATTCACCCCAACCCCTTTCAAAGCTTAGCTCTCTCATCTCTGATCCTCCATATTTTCTTTGTGTACAAGGAAGCCCTGTGCTGGGGGTGTAAGGGGACAAATGCTCTGTTGAAACCCCTATTCAGCCCCTTACTAGCTTTATGAATTTTGGCAAGTTACATGGCCTTTATGAGTCTCTTAGTATATGTAAAAAGGAATTAATAGTACATATTTTGGGAATATGAGACAATTCTTATAAAATGGCTTATGCCCCCACCTTGACTACCACTTTTGTTACATCTGCCACCCATTCTCTCTGGGGCAAAGATGCTAGGCAGCCTGCAGGCCTGACTCTCTATCACTTAATCTTCTAGGGAATAAATCATCTTGAGAGATGACACCCTGGGCTGTTATCACTTCTGTCTTATCTGCAGGGTGCTCATTGCCCTCCTGATAGTTTTCTAACCTCCTTTGGCTGGTGAGCAGCACCTTAGACACACAGATCTGCTCCTTCAAGGATAGAAATTCTCTCTTAGTGGCCTTGGTATTACTTTATATTGATAGTAGGTCAGGTAAAGGGCAGTGCAGACCATGGTGGAAGGAGGAGGAGGATGTATGCCCTCAAAAAGGAAAGCAACCTGGTTCTAGTTAGGGCACTGCCTCTTACTCATGGTGTGATTCCGTCTAGCTTCTGCCTCTTTCTGGCCTCTATTGCTATTCATACAATGGGAGGTGAGACTCGATTCCTATGCAAAGTCTACCTGGATCAACAATTAGGGTGTTTCAGGGCGGTCAGCTTGGTTGGCCTCAGATGCCCTAGGCCGCAGTGGTTTTCAACCTTTTTAATGTCACAGCCCTTTAATACAGATCCTCAGGTTGTGGTGATCCCCAGCCATAAAATTATTTTTGTTGCTACTTCTTAACTGTAATTTTGCTACTGTTATGAATCATAATGTAAATATCTGTTTTCCAATGGTCTTAGGCTCTACAGCAGCAGTTCTCAACTCTGGTTTCTACAAGGTTGTTATCTTTTCTTGATAATGGCAGATCCCTGATTGGGAGGATGAGCTGCATTTCCAGGTGAGCTCCCAGGTCCCATATACAACTCCCAGCCAGGTTAGAATGTGCCTACTTTAATCAGAACAAAACAATTAGGGTTAACAGAACATGATTAATATTCCTTATAATTATACTTAGTCCCCAATATTCTATTTCTGCCTCCTATTGGAACCAGAACACTGCCCTCCTCCCTCCTCCTAGGAATGGAAAGTGTATCGCCTCCAATTCCCAGAGCAAGGATGCAAGTCTTGTTTGCTGGGGCACTCGTTGCTTTTCCCCAGTGCTTTTCAAAGGCAGACACTGGCTGCCAATGGAAGTAGTTTTAAGTGCTGCATAGTGTGCCTGTTGCTAACATGGAATGACATTCTAGGTTGTATCACGAAGATCCTATCAGTTTAGTGCTAGTAAGTTATTGCTAACCCTCCTTGCTTGCCAAACTTCCCTTTTATAATAGAGTAAGAGCAGGATTTATGCTAATAGATTTGTGGGCAACCCATTAGCTGAAATTCAATTATTTTGGAAATGAAATAAAACTGTAATTTAATAAAATATGTGTATTTAAATGGTTCCTTCTATTTTTAATAAGCAACCCTGGTTTTCTACTCAAAGAAGGGATGTGACAGTGCATATTTAATATAAAATGTTACTGATTATAAAGCATTATTGTTACATATTCTAGTAAGACAGAAAAATAATTTACTAATCAAGCCATAATACATCATTGACTGTAAGAAGCTTGCTGTTTTTGAAGATGTTACAATGTGAGCCAATGTGCATCAACTGTGGTTTCCTTTAACAAATAGGCTGTTTGAGTAAAGAAGGGAGTTGATTCAATGACAAAATAGTAAACGAGTGACAATTCGGGTGTTTAAATGAATTTAGCAGAAAGGAGGCCACTGGTGTGGTAGTGACCGGAGTTTGGGAAACAATGAATGTTTCCTGTGGGTGGTCCCCACAGCAGCTTTGTAAGGGAGGGTGCTTAGCAGGGAGAAGAGGCCTTCCCATGGCCACAATGCGAAGAAGAAAGTTATACTCAGGCAGGTAGGCCAAAAGTCCCCACTTCCAGGTACCAAAAGTCCATAAAGCTCGTGCTCTGACTCAGCATGGCCTATCTCCTGCCCCTTCTGTCTGAGAGGCCTTGAGGAGCACCCAGTTCTTGTCCTGTTTCATTCAATCTTGAGCCTCTGAAAGCAACCACTTGCTGGTCCTGCCAGAGTAGGCATGAGAAAGGTATTCCGGTACCTTTCTCACAGTGGCGACACCATCAACGGAAAAATCAAATAATGATGAGTGGACATTTCTGACATCCTGGCATCCAGTAAGGGATGTAAATCAAGGGCAAAGAATATCCTCTATTAGTAGTTGTCGTAGTAACAGTAATTGCTCTGTTAGCTGTTGGCTCTTTCACTTTTATTTCCCTTTAACCCTTCTCACAATCTTATGGGTAGATATCGTCCCCATTTTACAGCTGGAAAACTGTTAATGTTAATTTGTTTCAAATCACAAAACTAATAATGGGTAGAGCTGTAGGTAGATCCATGAAGGCACTGCCTTTTTCCTTTTTAAAAAAATTGAACATTTATGTTGAGATAATTGTAGATTCAGTACTGTAAGAACTACTATAGGGAGATGCAAGAGATCTGGTGCATCCTCCCATTGGTAACATCTTGCAGAACTATGTGCCAAATCACATCCAGGATGCTAACATCCATACACCAAGATGCAGGCTGTTTCTGTGGATCTGTCATGGGTGTTGCCCTTCTTTAGGCACCCCCATCTCCCTCTCCTGCACTCCCATCCATCCCCTGATTCCTGGCAACCACTGATCTCTCCATTTCTATAATTTTGTCATTTTAAAGTGTTACATAAATGGAATCATATGGTGTTCAACATTTTGATACTGCACCATCTGGGTTATCCCACTTTGGAGCTCTTATAAATAAAACTTCTATAAACAATCATGTACAGGCTTCTGTGACCATAAGTCCTCATTTATCCAGGATAAATGCCCCCAAGTGTCATTGCTGGGTTGTGGTAGTTGCATGCTTATTTTTGTAAGAACCTGCCAGACTGTTTTCCAGAGTGGCTGTACTATTTTGTTCCTCCCTCCACCAGGAATGTAAGAGTGACCTAATTCCTCCACATCTTCACCAACATTTGTTTTTAGCCATTTTGATAGGTGTGTGATTATATCTCATTGTGTTGTTAATTGCTTTTCCCTAATGGCTAATGCTATTGAACATATTTTCCAGTGTTTGTTGCCCTCTGTGTATCCTCTTTGGTCAAGTACTGCTTCATTTTCATTTTCCCCACTGTCCCTTTTTTAAGTTGAAATTTGCATTGCGATAGTTGTAGATTCATATGCAAGTGTAAGCCATAATACAGAGATCAATAAAAAAAAAGATGAATAGCCCAGTTAAAAAGTGGGCAAAGGATTTAAATTGACATTTATTTCTCCAAAGAAAGCATACAAAGGCCAGTGAGCATATGAAAAAAATATTCACCCTCAATTGCTATCAGGGAATGTAGATTAAAACCACAAGGAGATAGCACTTCATAACCACTATAATGGTTATAATTTAAAAAGAGAAGCAGTAGTAGTAAGTGTTGGTAAGAGTATGGAGAAATCAGAACCTCATTTAGTGCTGGTACGGATATAAATGATGCACCTGCTTTGAAAAACAGTGTAGCAGTTTGTGAAAAACATAAACATAGAATTCGTTCATACAGTCAAGAGAAATCAAAACATATATCCATGCAAACACTTGAACATGAATATTCACAGAAGCATTACCCATAATAGCCAAAAAGTGGAAACAACCCAAAATCCAACAACTGATAAATAGATAAACAAAACATGGTCTATCCATATAATGGAATATTGTTCATCAATTAAAAGAAATGAAACATTGATACATACTAGAATAAATGCTCAGTGAAAGAAGCCAGTCACAAAAGAAGCCAGTCATACACCTTGTGTATGATTTCATTATATAAAATCTCCAAAGCAGGGAAATTTATAGAGAGAATACAGATTATTGGTTACCTAGGGCTTGGGTGTGGGGAACTTGGAAATGGTAGGTAAAATGATGTGGGGTTTCTTTTGGGGGATAATTAATATGTTCCAACATTGTGGTGATGGATATACAACTCTGTGAATATACTAACAGCCACTGAACTGTATACTTTACATGAGTGAATTGGATGGTATGTGAACCATATCTCAATAAGCCTGTTTTGTAAAAAAATAACAGAGATTCTGTATACCCTTTAACCAGTTTCACCTCTCATTAATATTTTGAAAAATTATAGAAGCATAGGATATTGAGGCCAGGATTTTAAGATTGACATAATGCAGTGATGTTTAGACTTTCCCAACTTTAGTCATTCTCATTTTGTTGTGTGTATGTATCTATGTATTAAGCTCTGTATGTTTTATCTCATGGGCAGGTTTGTTTATCCACCATCATGGTCAAGATGGAATGGACTGTTGCCTCTTGAAGCTCTGTTCACTCAGAGACCTTCCGCTCCTCCTCATTGCCAGTAACCCAACTCAAGGCAGTTGCCTTTTCTGCTTCCAAAGCTTCCCAAGAGGGAGAGCATCCTGCTTCTGGCTGTCGAGGGTAGAAGTCATAGAGGGACACGAATTCCCACCCACATGGGAGGCACGAAGGTCAGGATTGCCGGCACCATTCATCTAGATTCTACAATAGAATCACCCACACTTCAGAAAGAGTAGGAAATTATCTTACCAAAAGGAGGACCATGAATTCTGGAGGGGGGATACGCCCCTGTGTCTCTGCTCCCCGCTTTCTCCTCCCACCAAGCTCCGAAGCCATCTAACTCCCAGGCCCGGTGGGTGACTTGTCAGCACTTTCGGAGAGCTGGTATTTATTGGGTTACCACCAGCACAGGCTCTCAGGGAGAGGCCTGGCAATGATTCATCTGTACTCATCCCTGTGTTTTCACCAGCCTGCTTCTGCCCAAAGGGACAGCCCCACTGGCTCTTCCACAGCATCATCACTTTGGTTTCTCTCAAATTGTTTGCTCAGAAAAAGCCCAGAGTTTGGCCTCAGTTTATTCTGGGCTTCCAGGGGAATTTCCCATCCTCCTCGGATGCTATGGGTGAAGTTGCTAGAACATTCACTCCTTACCTGGTGGGGCAGGAAGTAAATCTGGCTCCAGCACAGATTTATTTATTTATTTTGGATCAAAGACAAGCTCACTAGGTTCACATAATTTGGGACAAAAGAGATGGGAAGAAGGAGTCGTCACTATGCCCTGTCTTTCAGCTGTCATCCTACTGCCCCCAAATCACTGGTCTTGTCATAGCTGACCACATGCCAGTCCCAACTCTACCCTCCACCTGGATCTTAGAACCCAGCCATCATTTTGCCATTTCAAGATTTTACCTTGTCCAAACCCACCCCATACAACCCCAACTGTGGCCTCTCAACCCTGGCTTGTCATCCAAGCCCACCTCTGCAAAACCTCAAATTCCACGGCTCGCAAGCCCAGTTGAACTATGCATTGGGACTGATGCACGTTAACATCTCCAAAAGTGAGTACTACTCTTAATGATAATTAT